GATTGCACCATGCATGTGAGGTATAACCGCAAACGTCAGATCAAGGGCAGTAATTCTAGCACTAGACCTCCTGTGCAAATCTAAAGTGGTGACCTGTAAATGTTTTTAAAGCGTCGTCTATGGACATTATAAATTTACGTAATTTGTTTGCCATTGCACGGGTGTGCATGTCGTGTTTGGTATCCATGTACTCGGCAAAATATCATCTTTTAGATTTTATTAAACAATTGGGCAATATATTGTGTTTTTGTGCATTAAAATTCTAAAAAGTGTATTGTTTCCAAAAGATTTGCATTTGAAAAATTGCTGCGCAAATACTGTGCGGCATAAAAAATTTCAACACCCACCGTTTTATTTTCTATGGCCTCTGCTTTGAAAAATATATATAATGTTTGGGGGTTCAAAGTTTATTTCTAGAAAAAAAAAAAAAACAGTTTTTCAAGTAAACAAAAAGTGTTAGAAAAGGCTTGGTTTTTAAGTGGTTAGAAATGTGGGTGATGTGTGGCATAAGCTTGTAATGTTAGCCTAAAATGCCAGTATAGTAGAAGTGACCCCCCCAAATGACCCCTTTTTGGAAAGTAGACACTCCAAGGTATTTGCCAAGAGGCATGGTGGTGAGTATTTTGCAGATCTCATTTGTTGCCAGAAGTTTTTGGAAAACTAAGAAAGAAAATGAAAATGTATTTTCGTTTCTTTTCTTTTTTTCGAAAACCTGTGACAAAAATTATATCTACAAAATACTCACCATGCCTCTTACCAAATTCCTTTGGGTGTCTACTTTCCAAAAAAGGGTCATTTGGGGGGGTGTTTGTACTATCCTGGCATTTTAGAGCCTCCAAAACTGTGATAGGTTGTGAGGAATTGATATGAGGAAATATGCCCTTTGAAAGCCTGAAGGTGATCATTGGATTTTGGGGGCGTATATGTGGCTAAGCTGCCAGAAAGTCTCTCACATGTGGTATCCCCATACTTGGGAGAAGTAGCAGAATGTGTTTTGGGGTGTTATTCCACATATACCCATGGCATGCGTGAGCAATATATCCTTTAACTGACAACTTTGTGTAAAAAAAAAAACATTTGTCATTTTCCAAAAATGTGTGGCAAAAAATAAAATGTTCCATGGACTCAACACACCTCTCAGCAAATTTCTTGGGGTATCTTACTTTCCAAAAAAGGGTCATTTGGGTTTTTTTATACTGCTCTGGCATTTTGTGATAGGCAGTCAGAATATAAAAGCTGTGTAAATTCCAATTTATATACCACAGTTTGTAAACGCTATAACATTCACACAAACCAATGAATATACATGTATTGGGAATTTCTTTATCAAACACATGTAGCAGAATACATTTTGGCCTAAATTTATGACTAACTTTGAGTTACTATATATTTTTTTTATAACCGAAAGTAAAAAAATAGTTTTTTTTCAAAATCTTCGGCCTTTTCTCCTTTATATCACAAAAAATAAAAAAACCCATTGGTGATCAAATGCCACCAAAAAAGCTCTATTTGTGTGAAAAAAAGGATATAAATTTTGTTTGGGTACAGCATTGCATGACCATACAATTGCTAGCTGAAATAGCGTAGTGCCGAATAGCAAAAAAGGGCCTGGTCATTAAGGGGGGTAAATCTTCCGGAGGGCAAATGTTTAACCCCTTGATGCCAACGTCACACAAATATGCGGCCTCACAGAACTGAGCTTTTTTCCATGGGGCCACATATTTGCCTACCTGTCTTTGTGCTGGGAGCGCACAGCACAACTCTTTCCCAGCACAAAGACCAGGCTGTCACTGAGAGCCCCGGGTCCCTTTCTAACGATCAGGGCCCCGGGAATCCCGATTCCGGGTCTCATGATCGCTGTGATAGCCTTTGATTGGCTATCACAGTGATCAGTCATTGTACAGCCTGGCCCCCTTGTTTTTTTTTTCTCTCTATGAATAGAGGAGAGAGATACATTGTATCTCTCTAACTCCTGGCATAGGGGGAAAACACTATTTTTAAAAAAAAAAAAAAAAGAAAAAGATAAATAAATATTAAAAAAGAAAAGAAAAAATACCTAGATCAAGATTTGATCTAGTTCAGTGCCAGGGTAAGTGGTTGGGTCAAGGTCAAAAGGTCAGGGTCATAGGTCAGGATTTTTTTTTTTAAATTGGTATTAGTGTCAGTTAGTGTCAGTGTGTTTTAGGTAAACAAATATCAAAATAATTTTCTCAAGAATTTGATGTTATTTTGCCCCATCCATTATTCCTTCTATACTGACAAGTGCTCCAGACCCTGCTGCAAAGAAACAACATCCCCATAACAGGATATCACCACCTCCATGCTTTACTGTAGGAATGGTGTTATTTGGATGGTGAGCTGTATTGGATTTCTGCCAGACATATCGTTTAGTGTTGAGGCCAAATAATTCCATTTTAGTCTCCTCTGACGATACCACCTTTTTCCATGTGGTCTCAGAATCGTCAAGGAGCGTTTTGGAAAAGCTCAGTCGTGACTGCATGTGGCCTTTCTTGAGGAGTGGCTTTTTTGTGCAAGCCACATCTGTGGAGAATATTTGATATTTTTGTCATATGCACACAATGACCACTCTGTGTCATAACTTCCTGCGACTGCTTCAGAGTTGCTGTAGGCCTCTTACTACTATTTGATAGTAGACTTCACTTTGCTTCTAGACATTGATAAAGCCTTTGAAATTGTTTTCAATCTGCAGACATGTGGCTTGGAAATGAGAGGCCTTCTGGGACTGGCCTGAAAAGACACCATGGCAAGGAAAATAAAAAAACAGCATTTTGGTTGCACATGATTGGATAAAAGAAATCAGCAGAGCTTCACCTCATTTCAGAGCTTCCCCTCAGATCTAAACCAACTACACTTGCAGTGCACAGCCTATTTGCCTTTAGTAAATCAACCCCCGTAAGCGATAACTGCTAGTGGACGCATAAGAGATTACCGATAAGATGCCTGGACTCTGCCTGGACTATTTTTCTGTGTTTATGGTATTGAAGTGCTCTGCACTGTGACTATTGTGAAGCAGGAAGATTTAAGCTGCTGTGCCAAGAATGTTCCACAATAAAGCATTGAAAAGCACTTGTGTGTGGACATTAATAATTCCAGGAAAAAGGCCTTCATCTGGGAAAATGTGAGTTCAACAAAGAAGGGTGGCCCTCAGATCTGGTTTAACTGTAACACAGTATGACAGAGTCTCTCCAAAAGACAAGTATCTGCTGATCCTATCTGTAGAAGGAGAGGGGCAGAACCTGGGCCACATTGGCAGGAACCATTGTGCAATCCAGGTCCCTTACAAATGTGGACTGAGAAATGTCTCTGATGGGTTCAGGAGGGGGTTTTGGGAAAGCTGACAGAACAAGGTTGTATTCCCATAGAGTCGCATGTTGCCTTACAGTTAGAGGTATATTGGCAACCCCCTGTGCTAGATTGCTAGAGCAAAGATCTAGCTTTTAACAGTACTCAAGGCCAAATGTAGATCCTGAGTGGGGGAAGGCTAAGATGTGTTCCACAGAGCATCTCCTAGAAGGAAACTCCCTAGTCTTGAGCCTTGTAAAGTAAACTTTCCAAGTGCCATAACAAACCCTGTGAGAGATTGATTTTCCGTTTTTTATGAGTAGTAATGGGCTGAACACCCCCTTGTTCAATTCGCGGTTGAAGTTTGACTGTGAACTTCGAACCGGACAATTCACTAAGAGGTATCTTACTGCATCTGAGTATGCGGTAAGATAGATACTGCACAGCACTTTTTACAAAAAAACATTGGCATTGACTAAGAAGAACACAACTTAAATACCACGAGTTATTTGATTAAGTCATGTAGTATTTAATAGTTAAAGCCATGCAGTAATATATCAACTGTCAAAGAATTGCTCACAATTAAAAAACAAGCAGATAAACGGCGTGGGGTCCCCCCATCCAAACCAAGCCCTTCAGGTCTGGAATGGGTTTTGAGGGGAACCCCCAAACCAAAATAAAAAAAAAAAATGGCATGGGTTCCCACTCCCCAAAATCCATACCAAACCCTTATCCGAGCATGCAGTCCAGCAGGTCAGGAAAGGGGGGGGGGAGCGAGTGCCCCCCCAAACCATACCAGGTCACATGACCTCAACATGAGGGTGTACTTTGGGGCAGGGGGCCCCCCAAAGCACCTTTTCCCCATGTTGATGGGGACCAGGGTCTCTTCCCCACAACCGTGGCCGGTGGTTGTGGGGTCCGCGAGCAAGGGGCTTATCAAAATCTGGAAGCCCCCTTTAACAAGGGGACCCCCAGATCCCAGCCTCCCCCCCATGTCAATGAGTATGGGGTCCCTGGTACCTCTACTCATTCACCAAAAAAAGTGTAGTGTAAAAAATGACAGTAGACAGTCTTTGAAAAGTCTGCTATTAAAACAACAAAAATTACAAAATGTCCCCCGAAGTAGATCCAAAGTCAATCACGATGCCTACTGCCACTGCCAACCCGGAAGAAAAAAAAAAAGGCTCCGCTGTCAACACTGGCTCCTGCCATCTGCCTGCTCCGCCGGCCTGACAGTTCTTAAATATCTCAAGGGCAGGGCCACCCAGTGACGTTGTCGAATGATGCACCCTTGTGACACCATCGACCGGGGCATGTTGGTTGTACTGTGGTCAGGTGCATTGCTTTGGCCAATAACAATGCACTGTCAGAGTGCCCCTACCTTTTGTGTGGTCGCTGAACACACGAACGGCCGATGTTCAAATCTAAGTTATGTTCGACTCCAGCATCAAGCCCATCACTATTTATGAGCATAGGAAAGACTGGATTGGATATACCACTATCCTCTAGGACAGGGGTGGCGAACACACGGCTCTCGAGCCGCGTGCGGCTCCCAGCCAAAATGAATGTGGCTCTTTGCCTCTTATCATATTTTGTATACTGTGGCTCTTTGCCAAGTTTCATGTTTCTCTTATTTTTACCTGTTCCTCTATCCAGCGGCGCGCTGTCTTCCGGCTTCTGTAGTGTGGGCACTGGGCATGACAGCCGGGTGCCAAGTGCGCATGCGCAAGAAGCGGTGCTTTTTGTGAATGGTAAGGCGGTACCTGGGACACATGACAGATCCCAGAAGCCGCCGGACCAATCACAAAGCGCAAGTGCTTCTCGCTCATGCGCACTGGGCACCCGGCTGTCATGCCGAGCGCCATTACAGAAGCCGGGAAGACAGCGTGCGGCTGGATCGAGGAACAGGTAAGATCAAACAAAAACTCTGCGGAAGTAAGAGCGGGTACCTGTCAAATTTGGGTGGACACTTACCTTGAAATGAACACATTGTTGTTTTGTAAGGGGAAGAAAGTGTTATGGTGAATAATATGGTTTTAATTATGTGTTTTTGTGTGAGTGTTTGTCTGTTTTGGCAGGTCACTGCGTGGTGTGGCTCTCTGACTTTCACAGTTTAAAATTTTGGCTCTTTGTGTCTAACTTGTTCGCCACCCCTGCTCTAGGACCTGAGCTTCAACAGCTATGCCAGTAAAGCCAGCAACCATGAAGTATGGTGGTAAACTGATCAGGACAGAAGATGTGGGCAGTCTGGGAGACCCCATAAAGAGTATGCTCCAGACTTGGACTTTGAATCTAAGAGTTTATTTTCTGCCATATGTCTGAGATAGGGGTTTACACATATGGTGCCTATATTTCTGTAACTGAGGCAAAAGGGTGCTCTTTCCTCAAAATACATGTGCAGTAAGTGGTTTTCTTGCATTGTTGTTCTGAAAATTAACATATTAGCCAAAGAGTCTTCTGCATGTGCACGGACAGGAGATTAATTCTGGATATGAGATGTACAATATCCACAAGCCCATCAACACAGTAATGCAAGGCAATGTGCATAAGCTTCAAATAAGCTGTTTTAAAACTGAAGGTTCTGCAAGGATTGACTCAGGAGCTTTAGTCATACAATAGCCCAAAGGTTTGGCAAATGGACGACAGATTGCAAGGCAAGGCCTGTCATTGAGAACAAGAATTTGTAAAGAGTTTGCAGTCTTTTATCTGTCAGGTCCAGTAACACAGAGATGTCCTCAATGAGGACCATGTTTAGCTCAAGCAAGAAATTGCAGGATCCACAATGGGAATTGTCCACTTCTTTAAAAAATGGGTTTTCAATCAGGTATTTCTCAGAGAAACACTTGGGATGTAAAAAATAGTTTGCCAGGGACAGACCGGTCACCATACAAGACAAGTTGCAGTAGTGAGTGTACTGCTAAAGAATTCTGGTAAAGAATTCAGCTAGAGGTTGCTTCATATCCAGACATGTACGAACAATGTCAAGAAGAACTGAAATGGTATCTATGTAACTACTAGAGTTACATCAGCAGACTGAATATTCTTATACTCAGAATAATCACTCCTCCTCATCCTCAGCTGTATGTGCAGAAGTGGCCATAGCTGCAGGCATACCAGGAACAGGCTCTGCAGGACTGAATTACACTTGAGCGTGAAAAGCGATTTTGTGCATAAAATCTGCCATAGTTGCTTGAAAATTCTCCTTTAGTAATGCAGAGGAGGGAGCCACGCCGGATGGAGTAAGGAAGATTCGGAACATGTGATTTCAATTGGGGTACAGCATTTCAGGTTGTTGACATCAGGTCCTTATAAGGGACACTACAACCTGCCCTGGCATTTATTATCCATTTATGATAGAATTTATGATTGAAAATGTGAAATTCTAGTAATGGTATTTACAAAGCAACTGCTGAGGCAGGATGTGTGATATGGTCATCTGTGAGTCACTTGAAGGTAGCAGCAAGGAGGGCTGACCCTATGATCCTTGCAAGTAGCCGGCAGTAACTATCCTCATAATAAAGGCTAATGCAGAATGAACTGCAAAAAAAGCTTTGGCTATGCTTCTCTTTTAAAGGACTTTTTCTAATATGGAGAGCTGGGCTGGGGAAGGTGTGGGAGCATCTGGCTTAGGCTCTCAGTGGCACACTGAAAGGCAGAGCCAACTGTTGGTCTGGCATCTGAATGTCAGGATCCTTCCAGAACCTGGAGAGCTCTGTGATGTTCAAGACTTTGTGTCTGTGCTAGGGAATTTTGCTTCCTGTTTGTCCTGGTGACCACTGCCACTGGCACTGTGAATAATCTAAACTCTATTCATTTTAAATTGTCCCAAAACAGGTGGTGGTGGAAAATATTCCACTGGGCACTTTTGTTCTGGTGACAACAGATTCTTCAGGGAGATTTCCTCTCCCTCCTTTATCTAAAATGAAAATGTTTTGGCTTTAAGGTCAGCTCCTGTAACCTCACATGTTTTAGAGGCTTTCTGGTCCTTTACCTCTGTTCAATTCATGTCCAATCTCTGTCTCTCTACGATCCTTCTCCTCATTTAATCCTAAATGGATCAGTTATACAACACCGCATACAAAGCAAGCTATATTCCTTACATTCATGAACAGGCAAAACTTGCTAGATGAATTTCATTTTTGCCCTGAGTTGGGCTTCAGTAAAAATAATACAACAAAAATATACTTCACCAGCATAACATTCTCACCATCTAATACATAATATAATCATTACAGTTAAAGCTCTCCAGGAAAATATTTTCATTATTTGGCATTATAATATGCCTTTGCCCAAGATAGCATAGTTGCCAACATTTCCCAAAAATTTTTTCGGGACACTTTTTTTATTGTATGCCTAGAAAGCCAGCATAGGCGGAGTGATATGTAAATTAGGGGTGTGGTATACATTGTGGGTGTGGTCTGGAGAAAAATATGATGGTGCATAGCACCAAAAAGTGGGTGTGGCTTAAATTCTTCTAAATGTTGGGAGTAGCTTAAAGGGGGTGTGGTTAAATAGAGTCTTTTCTTGGGCTCCCCCATGCAATTTTGCTCTCCACCCCAACAGCCCAAAAAACAAACACATACATAGATTTATCTAAAAAAAGCAAACTTTAATAATATAAACATAAAGAACTAGACCACACTCACTGATTAGTTGCTAGAGGTTACAGCACTTTACCTCTTACTGATTGGTTGCTACTGCCTTTAGTACTGGGGAGGGTCAGAGACTACAGGGGTAGTACAGGAGATAATCAGAGACTGTAGACATGGCACAGAGGATGGTCAGAGTACAGTATGCTCCACCATAAATATCACAGCATGCTCCACCATAAATATCACAGATGTTCCACCATAAATATTACAGTATGGCCCACCATAAATTTTACAGTATGCTCCACCATACTGCAACCCCCCACACACACAACTCTCTCACAACTTACCTCTGCTACACTATTGATCCGCAGCTGCTCTGATAGTGTGTCCATCATTGGTGGTCTGGGTGTGCATCCTGGGCTTGGTCCTGAGTCCGCTCTGCAGAAGCTTCCTCTGCCTTGCACGTGAGGAGGAGGAGGCTAAGGCGGGCTGGCGCAATCACCCATGGGCTGGCCACGCCCCCTCACAGTAAAAACCAATCAGCATGGGAGAAACAGCCACATGACTTCCTCTCTCACTGATTGGTAGTCCCAAGCAGGGGAGCACAGAGAGGTGGGGCAGAGGATCCGATTGCAGGGAGCGAGGGGGAAGTATAGGTAACACACTCAGTACTAGATCATGCCCCAACTGCCATGGCCGGCGGACGTCCGTGACAAAATACCAGTGTCCTTGACAAAAATAATTTTCTGTGATTAAGCCCGGGACAAAGACTGTCCATGACAAATGTAAAAAATCCGTGAGTGTCCTGGGCAATCCGTGACTGTTGGCAACTATGGGATAGCATGTCTACTGCTAGAGATATAATATAAGCCTGCAATCTAACAGCCCCTCTCAGCACAGTTACCCAATTAAAGGCTTAATATACCTCTTCCCCCCAACAGGATAAGAACGTTACATATTAGCCAGCAGCAACACAGTATCCAGTAGCTACTTTCCTCTTTCTGCTCAACAGTTTAGCTCTTGCTGATAGTGTGGGGCACAGAAATGGACAGGTAAGCAGGCAATCAGTTTTTTATTTGCGTACTGCTTTTTGACTAATTTATGTGTCTGTTCACTGTATCATACTATTGCTCCGTTAGATTTGTCCAGTATTAACAAATCTGCACTATTAGAAGCTATAAATTGACAAAACTTGGGACAGAATGAAGGACAAAATACCGGTGGTACCCTTAGTATCGGTAGCTATCTCTGCTACCCCTTTGGTATGCCACTGATCTATATTAGATTTTGCAGTAAAGAGTAATTCGACTGTTTTAACACAAAATGTTTATTATCAAGATTTATATGGATCTGACACATTACTAACTGCTTTGCAGAGTACATACAGCAAATTCACTTATACCTGTTCCTTTACTTGTGGAGGCCTACAATTTAATGTTCCTGTCACACTCATACATGCAAACAAAATTTGAAAGGATGGCAATTAATCTACCTCTGTGTTTATGGATTGTGGGAGGAACTCTGCAGCCTCCTGACAACTCATGGGGCCCCCGGGCAATAGGGAATCATGGGGCCCCTGTGTCCTTGCCCAAACTCAAAAAAACCTAGGAAAAAGGTACCAGGGGCATCTCATGGGGCCCCCTACTGACCCCGGGCCCTCGGGCAGTGCCCGAGTTTCCGAATGGTCAGTCCGCCCCTGATCCTGACACAGACATGGAAAACTTATACAAACTCTGGCCAGCTAGTGTACTAAGTGAGATTCAAACCCAGGACCCAGTAAAGAAAAGCAAAGCAAAGAAAAGAAAAGCAAAGCAAACACTTAGCCACAATACAGACCAAAATATTCTCCAGGTTAGTGTTTGTTGGTTTATGTGACTTTAACCCAAGGCTAGTAAAAGGAAGGCAAATAGAAATACATATGATTATAAGAAAAAAGAAGATAGTATTTGAAAAATGTTAGTTTGACATATTTACTGAAATTATTAGATTTTACTGAATGTTTAAAGCAGATTGAAAATATATTGTGACATGTTGTAACTAGGAGCTGAAAGTTATGTGCTACATTTAACATGGGAGTGTCCCCAGGACAGGTCTGCAATTAAGTGCAAGGATTGTATCATCCTGTTCACCCAGGGAAACCACCAAGAAGAGTTCAAGACTACAAAAATAAATCTAACATCACTGGCTTATTATGTTGCTCCCCACAACCCCATTAAGAATGAAGGTCAGTACTTCAGAATACAAGAGTTCCATTAGATACAATATATACCCAAGGGACTACACTGCACAATGTGTTAAAAAAGGCAGAAGCATAATATTTGGAATACTGTACATTTTCTCTTTTTGATGACAATAATCGCTTCTAGAGAAACTTCAACTGCAGACTGCTGAAAAGGAGAACAAGCTGTAGTCCTGTTCAACAGAAATTCATAGAGTGGTTTCAAATATTTTCTTTGTTGTTTAGTATTGAGACATATTTTTATATAAATACAAGAAACATTTTTAATTCTTTTTACTTGTGTAAAAAAAGGAACATTATACTATTTATATTTAGTGCTTGCAGCCAGCAGGTGGTACGTTGTATACATAAGGACCAACATAAAATAAGCTATGCAATGAATTAGACCTTAAATTTATTGCA